GCAATAAGGGAAAACCTTGTATACATGAGGCCCTGAATTCTATTCCTAGTAGCAAGCAAAAAACATTTTATGTATGTATGTATGTATGTATGTATGCATGTATGTATGTATATACATGTTGTTTATTTATTCATTTTCTGTGCTCAATGTGTGTATGTTGCATGGACATGCACATGCCATAATGTGTATGTGGAGATCAGAGGACAATTTTGGGGACTAGATTCCCTTTTTTCACCAGGTGGGTTCCAGGGATGGAACATGGGTCATCAGGCATAGTGGCCAGCACCCTTTCTTGCTGACCCATCTCACTAGCCCCAAGAATTTTTATTAAAACTGTTATTTGGTATATGTATAACCTTACAATTAAAGATTAAATCGGGGTTCAAGAGGCTCCCCAAACAATTTAAGCTATGACTGATGTCATAGGTTGCCTCCCAGAAATTGAAGGTAAGACCCTATTGCTGAAGACACCATGCAGTTCAGACAAGGTCTTGAAGAATCAAGCTTGAAATGACCTGGAAACCTCCTCCCTAACCCTCATAGTATCCAAAGGTGCTATGCAAGCTACCAAGGGAGAAGAGCAATCAACAGACCTCTGTAGCTATGAAACCTACAATCCATAACAATGACCAGCTAACATATCCCCAGTGGTACAATAGTGGCATGATTATCCTGAGGCTCAGCAGCAGCTGCTTAATTGGATTTAAGTCCTGCTCAACTGGAAGAAAGTTATGCCTGGTACTGAAAACTAGTTAGCTACCTGTGGCTATGGCAGTCATGGATCCTAGAAGAGAACCTGCTACCGCCACTTTCCTAAACCATTATAATTCCTAACTGCATTTGAAATACCTACCTTTATATCTACAGACAAGTGTAGCTCACTCTTCATCAAAGAAGCTGGGGTTTTTTGCAGCAGGTGGAGGTTATTACAGAGCTCGACAATTGGTCAAGCTATAAAGAATAAATACTTGAGGCTGCCCAGCCATCATTAATTCATCTACAACACAACCATTATACCTAAGACTTGGGGAAGCTTGCAGAAGAGGGGACAGCACGGTTGTAAGAGCCAGGGAACTAGGTACTGTCTTGTAGACATGACAAAAAAATGGCACCTGTGAAATCTCAACATGTTTTCCTAAAAGAAAGCCTGCATAAGGCAAATGGATGGAACTTGAAGAAACCATCCTGAAAGAGGAACATGGTATGTACTCACTTATACATGGATTTTATACATAGAGCAAAGGATCACCAGCCTATAATTCACACTGCCAGAGAAAGTAGGATTCAAGGAGGAACCTAAGAGATTCATACCAGGTCCCTCACAGGAGAAAGGAACAAGATCTCCTGAGCATATTCAGAGTGTGGGGGAGGGCAGTGAGTGGAGAGGGAGTTAGGAGAAAGAGAAGGGGAGAGGAGAGCATGTGGGACTAGGAAGATTGAGTCAGGGGAGGAATAGATGACAGCAAAAAGAAAGAGAGAGAGCGCACCACCATAAAAGAGGTAGCCATTATATGTTTGAAGAGAAAACTGACTAGAGAAATGTCCACAGATCTACAAGGCTGACCCCAACTAACAATCTGAGCAATGGTGGAAAGGCTACCTTATATGCCCTTCCCTGATAATGAGATTGATAACTAATTTATATGCCATCATAGAGCCCTCATCTAGTAGCTGATGGAATCAGAAGCAGACACCCACAGCGAAACACTGAGCTGAACTCCTGGAATCCAGTTGCAGAGAGGGAGGAATGATAAGAAAAGGAGTCAAGACCAGGTCACAGAAACCCACAGAGACAGCTAACCTGAACAAGGAGGAGCTCAGGGACACATAGACTGATAGCTGGGAAACCAACATTGAACCAACTCAGATCCCCTGAACATGGGTCTCAGTTATAAGGCCTGGGCAGTGTAAGGAACCTCTGACAGTGGAACCAGGATGTATCCCTAGTGCACAAAAGGACTTTGGGAGCACATTCCCCATGGAGGGATATTCAACCTACAGGCAGGAGGGATGGCCTAGACCCTACTCCAAATGACTTGACAGATTTTGACGATCCCTCCTGGAAAGTATCACCCACCCTGTGGAGTGGAGGGGAATGGGATAGGAGGGGGGTTGGGGGACATGGGAGGGAAGGAGGGAGAGGGAACTGGGATTGATATGTAAAATAGGAAATATATATATGTACACACACATACATATACATACATACATACATACATACATACATACATACATACATACATATATATGAAAACCTGCATAATCACGACACTACTTGATATGCCATCCTGGGTGCGAAATTTCACAAGGCCCCACCCCAAATGATGAGTTATAGGCAATGGCTGCTGAGAAAGGGAGACTTGGCCTTTTCCAGAGATGAGCTACTTAGTAGGTTATCAGAATCAAAAGTTGTTAGTTATAAACAAATGTATGAAGAAGAGATCATGAATTTGAGAGGAAATGAGGAAGATGGAAGGGAATGGAGATAGGGCTCAGAGGGAGGGGTGGAAATTATGTAAATACAATATGGTACATGAACTTCTCAAAAGAACTGAAAAAATAAATAAAATTCACATATTACTAAAAATTAAATGAATATACTTGCATTTTGTTTATGTGAAGAATTAAATTTGGGGACATATTTGATAATATAATAAATAGAGCATATTCAGCATTTTTCCAGGTTGATCAATATCTTGATTTTATAACTGTAAGAGCTAAAATGCAACTTTTTGTAAATATGTATTAAAGTACAAGACAGCAGAAGTTTGTCTTGGGGCCATTTCAAAAATTCTGTCCTAATTCCAAGGGAAAAAAAAAGGTACTTCATGAAAAATCATAAAGTTCAAGTCAGCAATTCAAAAAAAATTGACTTTTTAAAATAGTCTAAGACAGCAACCCAAGGTTCACTAATGTTATACATGCAGAGAAATGACAGCAGAATCTTGCAATAGTTTTTGTTTTCCGTATGTAGGTCATTATTTCTATAAGAGCAGAATTCTTAGTGTACATTAAAAAGCACTGTAGTAGTTTGGTCTGAGCCCATATGTTTCTAGCAACACTGGTCCATGCCATGTGGTGTGACAGTATGCAAAGTGCGAAATGAGTTATGCTCTGTGTTCAGAGCCAGTGCTGCAGCTACCTCAACGATGCCGTGCGACATGGGCAAGCATGGCCCAAATACCTCAAATTCAATATACATTTGACTTTGAATTAATTTTTTATTTTTGTTTATTCAGAAATCTTGTACTCTTACCAAATTTTCACAACTGCCACAGATACGGGATCCCACAGGGCCTTCTGGTCCCTGAGTGGAAGCTGTATCCTAGAAGACAGAAATCAATCCTTCTCCCACATAGCCTCTCATGAAGCCTAACACATGCTACTGCTTCCCATTAGAGTTAGTTTCAGATGTTCAAATGAAGAGTGAGCTAGAGTTTGGAGTTAATTTTCTCCTTTTCTGCCCTAGTTAAAATATAGAAGACCAGCAAAAGAGGTAGGATTGCCATTCAGAAGACACAATCATTCCCAGTTTAGACTTCACCCTACTGTATTGAGAAGCAATTCTGGCTGCAAGTTTCTTTTATTAAAAAAAATAGAGTTAGAAAAATATCATTTTTTTTCAAAAACCTTCCATCCCTTGTAACACAGAGTTCTTTTTAGCCTATTCACTTTTTAATTAGAATAGAAGGTTTTGTAATCTATAGTGACTGGAATTCATAATGGTTCACATTTTGATGAAGTATTTAAAGAATGAGCAAATGCATACATGCCGGACTTATGATACACAAGTAACCATTTACCAGTCTTTTTGAAATTAAATCCCTTCTTTGACTACAGGTCTAACATGTAGTCTATTGTTCTTCTGACATTAGTCACTAGATGCCTACATTGTCACAGGAGCTACACTGTGTTTACAATATTGGTTTTTAATATGAGAATAAGAACTTAAAGTTTTGGAAGTCAGCTGAGTATAGAATCAATTTAGATTTATGTTTACTGACTGCCTCTGTATGCTACAGTTTCCCTAAGATAACATATTTTATCAGCTGTTAGATTCGTTTCAATCAGACTTTATAAAAATATTTATGGAGGTATGTCATAATCATATATGATTATGTGATCATTTAACCCTATCCTATAATATGAGAACAGTGGGCATGGCTTGGGGACAGATACAAAAGGCTCCTAGCAAGTAACAGATGAACCAGTTGGAAGCACAACAGTGAGAATTCAGCTGCCAGTTACAAGGCATGGTAGTACTCAAGTTTTACCTAAAAATGTAAATAAATTGGGAATGTGTAAAGACCTTAGAAGGGACAGAGTTAGGAAACCCACTGTTTGGCATTGAGAGTCTCAAATCAGAGCTCTGTGGTGAATACCCAAATGAGGGTAGGAAGTTTAAAGTACTCTGAGAATATCCTAGACTGAATTGAAGCATGAATGGGTCTGTACAATCAAACTAGAGTTTTACCTTCCTGCCATATTGAGGAGTAGAACAACATTTAGGTCATAGAGTGCAATACTTCTCAATCTTAGCTATTTGAGCCATCTCTGCAGAAAAGGATGATTACATTAAAAACCCCACATTTTTAAGCACTTCGTTCTAACCATCTTCCTTACAAAGATGGCTTTATTGACTTAACCTAATGTTTAAATAGCCCTTTTATAATTGTTTTCATGATACTGCATTATTTGGTAGTGGGATAAATAAATATAAGAAGAAGTCATATGAAATGAGATATAGAAAAAATAGTAGCAGTATTCTGTTATAGAGACAAACAACTAGCTTCAGGAGCCTTGACTTAGAACGATATTGGAACAAAAGTGAAATTTAATAAAAAATATGAACAATTGTATCTGTGGATTGCTTGTCTTAGAACTCTGCATGTCATTTTCAATTGTGCTTAAATTTCCTGAGATTTAAAATGCCATTCTTTAAAGATTTTCCTTCTGACCATTTGGGTTATCTTTACATTTTTGATCTTCTTCATTTCCAGGGTTTTGAAGGTGTTTCTCTCAAGAACAGCCCAGAGAATTCCATACATGACTGGTGGTAGGGTCATGAGGATGCTGGCGGTAATACTCTTGGTAGTGTTTTGGTTTCTCATTGGCTGGACTACTTCTATGTGCCAGAACTTGGAGAGGGATATTTCACTTGTTGGCCAAGGGCAAACATCTGATCACCTCACCTTCAACATGTGCCTCATTGACCGCTGGGATTACATGACAGCAGTTGGTACGTGGTCACCTCATGCTTTGCATGATCATCTGCCTAGTGAAAAGCCTGTCAAGTCTGATCTTTAAGTTTAAAGGACTTTTGTTATGATTTTGGTAACAACAACATGACAAAAATGATAATGATAGGTGCAGTGCAAAGGTTCATTCCTTTATTAAAAGAAAAAATGCCAAGAACAAAGGCAACATGTATACACAAAGAAATTATCAGTTGGTCTCTAGCTGTTCAACAGTAGCCATCTTGATTTATGTTCTCAGGTGGTAGGAGACAAGAATGCTGGTATTTTTCTGTACAGAGGTCTTATGATATTGATCTGACTTCACTCGGTGAATAGTTGACTGTCTATGATCAATCTATGATCAATTTATCTTCCTGGCATTTATCCCTAAAGAAAATTCTCTGAGAGTCCAGGATCAAATGGCAAGAATCGTGTTACTTAGAGATGGTAAAGTTATGTGACAGAAAAACAGGGTAGCTATATCATGACTCAGACCCGAAAACACAAGTTATTTGTTTGACCCTTTCCATCATCCCTCTTTTTAAAGGTAAGTACATAGGGCATTTTAGCTATCAGCTACTTTTAAACTAAGTTTCCAAAGATACAGAAAGCAAAAAAAAAAAAAAAAGAAAAGAAAAGAAAAGAAAAGAAAAGAAAAAGAAAAAAAAAAAAAAGAAAGAAAAGAGAGAAAAAGAAAAGAAAGAAAGAAAAATGGAGGAGAGCCATCATGATTTTGTTGTTGTTCCCATTTGTAAGCTAAATCAATCAACCTTGTTTTAAGGGCATATATAAAAAGTAAAAATATGAGATTATTTCTCATTTTCTGTCTCCTTGCCAATGTTTGGCTGAATGGTGTTGATGCCAACAAGGTATGCCCTAGGTCAGATATTTTTAGGACATTTATAACCCCAATGCTATGTGATGAAACCATGTGGCTGTGGGCATGGCTGTAGTGAGAATATATTTTTAAGCAACTTAACTTTCAGAGGATAAACAAACAGCAAAGATAGAAGGCAAGTCTGGGTTTTGCTCAAGTATGGATACGAGAAGGAAAACATTGCATAAATACCAAGTTTTCATTCAGCTGAATCCTTAAATTGTTTATTTTATACTTTGTAACCAAAGCAGAAAAAGTCATTTCTTCATATTATGAAGAAATTTCTACTATGTTTATGTTTAACAAAAGAAAATGATAACACTGAGCACACATGAGGTTACAAATAGGGAGACAGCATGGCCAACTCAGCATTTTATTTTGTATTCTACAGAAATAAATGGGAATGCATGATTGAAAATCATAATTCATTTAATAAACCTTATTGGAAAGTAAGAATTGCATACTATCAGCAAGATTCACTTCAGTACTTTTAACTTCTGTACTATTGTGATGAACACTTTTTGAGGGATATGAAATGTATAAAGCCTATACTACTGGTCAAGTGTTTACTCTTAGTTACCATAAATAAATGGGAATTATTAAATTATCAAAAAGCAAAGCACAGTGAAAAGCTTTTTGGTATAACAATTGTTCAGTGAAAGAAGATGAAATATTTTGGACAAGACTTCAAGCACTTTGAGCCATAGGTGATGTTTGGGTTATCATAAAGATATGTAGGTAGCATTCTATTTGATAGGAACAGCAACAGATGGAGGTGGGTGAGAATTATGTCAAACATGAAGGAGACATCTAAGTAGAAAAAGTTGGAATATGTTATGTTGGGGCACATTATGAATAATGCTTGGTGGTAAGTTTATTGAAAACATCCCAAAGTTAAAGAACCAGGGAGATGATATAAGGATCCAATATATTCAATTTTGATTGTTTTTATCATGTGATTTTACAGAAAGTGCAGTGTGCCAAATCCAGGGACTTGTGGGTTGGAACATTTACAAGGGAGAGATTAAGAACAGTGCTCCCAGTATGTCATTCCTTGGGAATTTGTTTAAAATGTATAGTTTTAATCTACTCCAAATTTCTCACTCAGACCCTGGGACCTGGGCCCTGGGCCCTAGCACTTCATGCTTAATATGACTCCAGATGAACCTGGTTTTATGCTACTGTGAGAAACTTGGACTCTGGGGGCACAATCTGATGGGCTTGCTAGAGTATAAGGACAAGAAACCCCAGCTATGCTCTGGCCATTCCATAGTGCTCATAAGAACCTCAGACCACTGGAGCCCACTTCCTATTGGTCATTTCCAATTGGATTTAATTTTCTTCTGCTCCACGCTTCCATGCTTCACTTTCCTGTTCATATACAACACCTAGGCATAAACAGGTGACATCAGATAGAGGATTCTTAATGTTCTTACCTACCCATCGATAAATCTCCCAAGTCCACACTCACTTTGACCTTTTATTGCCCACATCACCCTGTATTAGTGGGTAGCCATCTTAACCTATGTACACTTAACCAAGACTTCACCTCATTCCCCATGACCTTTGTAAGACTTTTGTGTCTTACATCTGAAACTCCCCTGATTTCAAAAATCTCCCATAGAAGTCCACTCTGACCACACTTTCCTAACTCTTTTATGACTCTCAAACATAGCTGTTTGATGTAATAGACTGTTTTAATTGTACAGTCATGCCCACACAATAACAGTCTGGCTAACAGTAATCTCTATGTACAACAGTGGTTCCATAAAATTTTATAATGAAACCGAACATTCGTATCACACAATGGCGGTATAGCCATTGTTATGTCACTGTATTAGTCAGTGTGTTTTGGTGGTGCTGGTGTGAATGAGCACAGTAATGTGCCATTAATATGAAAGTACAGCAGTATAGTGTCTAACCCTGAAATGACAGTAAGAGTCTGCACTGCATGCTTCCACACTGTTTCTCCACCCACCATTGTTTTAGAGCAGTGGTTCTCAATCTTCCTAGTGCTGTGACCTCTTAATACAACTCCCCATGTTGTGGTGACCCTGATCATAAAATCATTTTCATTGCCACTTTATAACTGCAATTAATGTTACGCTATTGCTATGAATTGTAAATATGTGATATGCAGGGTGTCTTATATGTGACCACCCCCAAAGGAGTTTCAACCCACAGTTTGACAACCACTGTTTAGAGAGTACTCTTTTTTTTAATTTATTTATTTTTATTTAATTTTATATAACAAAGTCCAATTAAATGAAAACAAACATTTATACACAATATTTGGGAATTTGGGCGTCGTTCTTTCCAAACTACTTCCTGCTGGTAAGGGGCGCTGTCTTGGGGGATTCGAAGAAGATTCAGATATCCTAGCTGTAGTCTGTAGGGCTGTTTTGTCCAGCTGTTTGGAATGTAGGATCAGCTTGTATAGAGAGTACTCTTGCCTAGCAAAGCTTTACTATAAAACATGATGCTGTGTTGCTAGGGCAGCAGCTCACATTCACAGAATGACTGACCTACAGCATCTACACTGATGAAAGTGTACTTTGTGATGTGCACACAAGACAAAATTGTTATGTGAGTCACATTTCTGAGCATATCCTCATTATTAAGGGACACACAACTGTACAATTGCTATGCTTTTCATCTCCAGTGAAATGCTCATTAAGTAGCAAATATCCCCCTAGCAAGAAGTAAAATGTTCAGAGTGCTTTCTACAGTAATTCTAGAGAACAAAAAAAACAGGTAAAGCAACCAGCTCTGAGCCCCACCAGAGTAGGGTTCTTTTTTTTTTTTTTTTTTTTTTTTTGACAGAAGAATATAATTCCTCTAAGTCTCCATGACTCTGAGGATTAGATCTATAAGAATAATATTCTGAAGTATTTATACTGATTATACTTTAAACTTTCTGGAATACATTTAAACACACTTTGCATTATTAGAAGTGAGTAGACACACTTTCTCTCCTCCAATAGCTACAGTGTTCTTCAGCATCACTGCTGTAAGGCTCTGTGGTTCACACTGTTTTCCTGACAGGCAACAAGCCAGCTGCCTTTCACAGACTCTTGATAAATATTTGCTGGAAGAATGAAAAATACGCCCAGCTCTCTTTCTCTCGTTGTAGTTTCGGTGGCAAGAATTAGATTAGGAGGAAGGAACTTTCTAAAGTTAAAAAATCCAGAAATTACACAACTGTCCCAAATTCATTTTAAATATAAGCATGTATGCTCACATTTTAGAATACATTTTGAGGCCTCAAAACTAAATTAACGCTCGCAAGCCTTTTGCTTTAGTCCTTTCTTATTATACCTTAGATTCAGGGTCTTGTAGAGAATAAGCTAGCCCCACACTTGCTAACTGAGGCTAGACCTGGATTTCTCATCCTCCTACTTCTACCTGCCTAGGGCTTGGATTACAGGAATACCGCAGCACACCTGGCAGCCTCAGCCATATTTATGAGGCCCGGTCAAATCTGACTTTGCCAGTAGTCCTGGTAAAATTTAAGACTTGAAAAGAGTTGACTTCCTAGGTCACCATAGCTCACTAACCAGATGGTCTTTGTATTTAGATTTAGATGCCCCAGGCCAGGGCACGGACATAGCCGAGGGGGTCTCATGATGTACTTTATTCTTTGGTGCAAACAAACTAATGAAAAGAAACCAGTTGGTAGGTGATATCATCATGGCCATTTATGTATTCTGGTTCATGATTAGATCCACATGCCAGGCTTCAGTTCACACTTGGACAAGCACTGAACTTTCTTCAGTTTCTTCCAGAATTTAGGTAATGCCAGTCAAATGTGGTACCCTTTTTTTTCTGCCTTTCCTTATCTAGCACAAGAGCAGACAGAAAAAGCCTAATTGGACTTAACTTCCTCTTCTGTTCTTCTATGTTGTTTCACCTGTCTGTGTCACTAATGGGGCAGCTCCTTTTAGTAGTGTTCCTATAAAATAATAACCATCCCAGACAAGAACCCCTTAGAAAGTAAGTCCACCACCAGTACCTGGCATATGTCCTAGCTCTGGAAATGCTTAGGAGCTTGGATCGTTGTTGTGAATTTTAATTCACCAAGTTTAAAAAGGCATCAGGGTACTTAGTTCACTCAATAAAATTCTT